AAACATTTTCATATAATTTAATAAGCAATTCCATCTCTAGAAATTTATTCTAAGGAAACAATCACAGATAGGCAAAAAAATTACATAGCTGTTATTTATAGCATTATCTATAACAAAAAAATGAAAACAAAAAACCAAAAATGACTAAACTAACTATACAATGGAATATTATTTGGTCATTTAAAGTCATATTGTAGAAAGATAACAATGCAAGTATACTCACATGATTAAAAAAAGAAGACACAAATAATTATGAATAGTATGACCCCAAGTATACACACACTACAAATGTTAACAATTGGATAATTTTTTTCTTCTTCGTTCTCTTCTGTATTTTCTAGATCTGATATATCTATATCAGATAAAGACTCAAAATGTACCCTTTTAAAATCCATGCTAGTGGTCTATAGTATGTAAGAACTCACTATGAATGCAACACGGCCTCATTAATTTCCTTAGTAAAGAACTACCAAAGGTACTACAAAAAAAAGTCTGCCATTTGCTATCACTACTCTCTACATAGTCTTAATACTCATACTGAATTAACTAAAAACAAAGATCCATCATTATTCAAATCCAAAAAAAATATTATGTTTTCTATTCTTTACCCTTCTTATTTCTGCTGTAGAAAATCCAGATGTCTTGAGCTGTTCACATTCTTTATGTAAAGTTTTGAAGGCTTCCATCAACTCTTCATACTAAAAGAATTAAGTTAATAAATTGTAAACTAATGCCTAGAGCCAGTAGGGTTTTCTTAATCAGGTTATCTATTAACTTATATGATTACTTAAGTCACTGTAAGAACAGCATTAAAAACACATCCTTAAGATTTATCTAGGACACAAAAAAGTAGATCTCTATAATCTGAATAGTACATACTTCTCCCGCTTCATTTCTGGTTATTTTCCCTCCTCACACTATATACTCTAGCTATGTTGATCTTTCAGTCCCCAAACATTCCATGCCTTCGTCTCCAGCTTATACATCCTATTCCCTCTGAGAATACTCTATGATCCACTCACCCCTAACTTGGATAACTCTTGTTCACCCCTCAGGTCTCAACACAGATACCACTATTCTCAGAGAAGCCTTCTCTGGCCCTGTACCTATCATAGTAGATATCACATAAAATTATAACTGACTAGTTACTTGTCTATCTCCCTCCACTGTACAGTGAGAGCCAGGAGGACAAGAATCATATTCTTTGTATACACCATTATATCCCTGGGGGCTAGCACAGTGCATAACTCATAAAAGTATTTAATAAAAAGTAGTTGAATGAAAAAAATTCACAACTGTTACCCCAAAATTTTTAGAAATAGTATTTTTGGTTGGCAATGACAGGATATTAATATTTTTCTTGATTGATCATATCCTACGAATCTACAAATTATTAATTCTAAAACTTCACTCAGAAACACAATATGCATTTTTATCAGGATCTCTGCTAAATGACTGGTTAAATGTGTAAGTCATTATATATATATACACACGCCTCAGACAGGCTTCAAGAACAAATATGTCTTCATTGCCATTAATTCTTTAATTAGATGAGCATATTTAGTAAAAACTTCCTCTATACAAATTAGTTTTTATCAGACTTATTGATGGAGTAAGGTAGGGAGGAGAAAATATTTCACTTTTTTTTTTTTTTTTTTTTTGAGACAGAGTTTTGCTCTGTCACCTGGGCTAGAGTACCATGGTGTAAGCATAGCTCACAGCAACCTCAAATGCCTGGGCTCAAGCAATCCTCTTGCCTCAGCCTCCCAAGTAGCTGGGACTACAGGCACATACCACCATGCCTGGCTAATTGTTTTCTATTTTTGGTAGAGACGGGGTCTCACTCTTGCTCAGGGCTCAGGCTGGTCTGGAACTCCTGAGCTCAAGCTATCCTCCCACCTCAGCCTCCCAGAGTGCTAGGATTACAGGCACGGGCCACTGTGCCCAGCCTAATATTGTCTGAAGACATCAATATTGACTTTATTTTGCGTGACTGCCAAGTCCAGTCAAAACAACAAAATATATGGATAAAAAATAAAAACATACAATTGATTGTTTTGATTCAATACAAATATTGAGCAACTAACATATAGAAGCGACTATACAAAATTCTGGAGGAAAACAAAGATTGGTAAGACATGACACCTGTCTTCATGGACCTCACAATTTATTGGGAAACACAGATCAACAAAGTACTCACAGCAAACTGGCACAAATCTATGTAAGTACTATTAAATAAAAACACAAAATGCTAAACAGGGGTGTTTTCTTTTTTTTTTTTTAAATCAAAGTCCTTTGAAATCTAAGCCTGATTTCCCTCTTTCTACAGTCTTTGACTAGCAATGTGCTTTGGGATTCCAGGACCAGGAGCTACATCAGCCAGAATCCTCAGTAGTCAAAGGCTTTAAGACCTTACACCAGAACCCAATGTTATTGCAAAACTCTGGTGAGAAAAGTGTGCTGGATTTTAACCTCCTAAACGTCTCTCTACTCTCTGCCTGACTGGAAAGTCCTTTGAGATTGCAAGCCTAGTTTCTTTACCTACTTCCTTGCAGGGACTCACATGTCTGGACTTGTCTGAAATAAACAGTGTCAATTTATATCATTTGTCCTGTGGTAATTTTTATGACAGTCTGTTTCTCTCTAATTGGATGATAAATTGTATAGTCATCTTATCAGCAAAGTGTTCTGCAGACTCAAGCCCAGGAATCCTACCTACCCAAAATTACTAAGTAATAAATTCTTCTTCTTTTTTTTTTTTTTGAGACAGAGTCTCGCTCTGATGCCCTGGGTAGAGTGCAGAGACTGAGTCTCTCTCTTGCTCAGTCTGGTCTCAAACTCCTGACCTCAAGCAATCCTTCCGTCTCAGCCTCCCAGAGCGCTAGGATTACAGGCGTGAGCCACTGCGCCCAGCCAAACTATTCTTAATATCGGGGCTTTTTTCTATTCACATACTCCTATCACGAAAATGGTATTTGTAAGTAAAAGTTATTATTTCAAGATATGACTACGGTTGAACGTTAGCTGATACTGTTTTACCTTCTGGTGCCATCCGAACTACAGGGATAGCAAATAAAGAGAGATTAACATGTATTTGAATCTGTGCAGCTTGAAATCCATTACAGATAGTTTCAATATACCATTTATGTATTATGTACCTGTTTATTGGTGTCTGCCATAGTTTCATCCTGAAGAAACTCACTTGGTACCTCAAGTTTTATTAAAAAACGAGCTAAATATGCTCTTTTCTTCAGTTCAGGAGTCCTCTGAAGAAGCCAGTGGAGCACTGGGTAAATTACAGGTTTACTCCCAATCACCAAACCCTGACGAAAGGTACTCCTAGAAAAGGAAGATACATACACACACTTATCGGTAAACCTTGGAAAGAAATAATTGTTGCCCAAAATCTGATTTACAATGTCCTGATTGCCTTCTGTAACTGTCTAAAAAAGATAAGCCCAAGGCTATTCTAAAGTTAATCTGTACATTAATTAGAAAATTAGGAAAATTAGGTCCTAAATGTATCACTGAAATATCTAAGGAAGTTGTGTTGGAACCATTAATTAGTATAGTCAGCCTTAATACTTCATTTCATTGACTGGGCAGTGTTTAAGTTGTTTTTATCTAGGATGGCAGATAAATGATAAAATGATATAGTGGATCTGCCTGAATTTTTTTGATTGGGGAAAGAACTGACCCATTTAAGACTTCTGCATGACAAAATAATATTATAAGGTTTAAGATATTGAAATTCAGTGATATTCTCAGGCCATCAAATTAGGGAGATCAAGTATTCCCTAAAAAGACTGATTGTAGCATACAAAGGTTTGGATATTAAAGCACAGTTTAAAAGAGCAGTACATGATCAGATTCTTACATGTCTGTGGCATTTCCTGGAGGTTTGTATTTAAGGATACCAAGAAGGCTCAACATCCGTTTGGCTGTCTGCTCTGGCATCTCCTCTCTGATATCAACAACTTGCTAACAAAGATATTTTAAAAATATGTTATTGTTGTATATCTAACAAAGAACAATATTTAAACTCACTGACAAAATTGTTCTGCTAGAGGCTTAATAGGCACAATGGTCTCTTCATAAAACAGATTAAATAAGGAGGCCCCCAGATTCCATGTGAGGGTACATACAAGTTAGATCAGGATTCATTTTAAGAATGTTAAGCTTAAAAAAAGTCTCCAGTGGAAAAGACCAGTGTATAAGAGACATGAGCTAACTTGCAATACAATAAAACCTTTTGTAAAAGCATTTTCCTTCCAGGACCAAATCTATTTATGTCTGGAGGTAATGCAATAACTTCTAAATAAGGTATAAGTAGATAATTTAAATTTTGAGCTAGTAGAGAAACTTTAAAGATCATTTATTATTACTTTATAGTCATGGAAAATAAGGCCCAGAGAGGTTAAGTAATTTGCCTAAGACTCACAGCTGTTTAGAGGCAAAAACTGCCTTTTCTGCCACCCTTTCATCAAACAGAAAGAGAAAATTCTTACCTTTGGGTCAATCTCAGCCAGAATATCATTGAGAATTTGTAATAGTTGCATTGGCTCCAGGGAATCAAATGTGATCAAATTATAGTTCTTCCTAAAAGGCTCCTTATTGAGATTGTCCACAATGAATTTGATTTGATCACTCATAATTAGGTCTTGTAAGTTAAACTAAAGAGTCAAAATAGAGAAAAATTCTTCAATGTTGCTAACAAAAGTTCTGATAAAAAATCAGAATTAAGCTCATAGGAAGTAGGCATGAAAAACATAATTCTGGACAGGCATGGTGGCTAATGCCTACAGTACTAGCACTTTTGGAAACCAAGGTGGGAGGATTGCTTGAGGCCAAGAGTTTGAGACCAGCCTGGGCAACAAAGTAAGACCCTGTTTCTACAAAAAATTTAAAAATTAGCCGGGTGTGGTGGCGCACACCTGTAGTCCCAGCTACTCGGGAGGCTGAGACAGTAGGATTGCTTGAGCCCAGGAGTTTGAGGTTGCTGTGAGCTAGGCTGACGCCACAGCACTCACTCTAGCTGGGGCAACAAAGCGAGACTCTGTCTCAAAAAAAAAAAAAAAAAAAAGAAAAGAATATGTTCAAGAAAACTCTGGTAATAATGAATGAAATTAAAATATAGACTTTAGGTTCTTTTATCATTTTTGTTTACTCACAGGACATAATGGAGGAACAGCAGATGGACATCTATCATTCTTCTTCCATAATATCTTATAAGTATCTATTTATGGGTCTTTCTCCTCTACTAGATCTGAGTTCATCTTTCATTTCTAATATTCAACAAACTCTCATTGAGAGCCTACCATGTGACAGGCACTGGGAATATAGTGGTGAACAAGATATATAGGCATAATCCTTGCCTTCATGGGGCTTAAAGGTATTTGGGAAGACAGACATTAAACTAGAGTAATTATAATGAATGTTATAAAACAAAAAGAATTGGGGGAATTAATCTATCTAAGGAATCAGGGAAGGCTTCCCTGAGGAAGCAACTTCTAATGTTCCTGATTGGATGAGAAGATAAACATGGCATTGATAATTCAGGAATTCTAAAAATTCAAAATCCACACAAGTCAGTATCAGCAAGTGTTTGGGGAAAGAATTTAAATGCCTCGTGAGAAAGTAAAAATATTTTCTGGAGAACATTAAGTAATACACATCAAAAGTCCTAAACATTTTCATATAATTTAATAAGCAATTCCATCTCTAGAAATTTATTCTAAGGAAACAATCACAGATAGGCAAAAAAATTACATAGCTGTTATTTATAGCATTATCTATAACAAAAAAATGAAAACAAAAAACCAAAAATGACTAAACTAACTATACAATGGAATATTATTTGGTCATTTAAAGTCATATTGTAGAAAGATAACAATGCAAGTATACTCACATGATTAAAAAAAGAAGACACAAATAATTATGAATAGTATGACCCCAAGTATACACACACTACAAATGTTAACAATTGGATAATTTTTTTC